TATTTTTCACATAATAAAGTATTGCATATATTTAGTTATTGCATAGCTACAATTTCAAATTTTTTAAATGGTTTTACCATTGTGATGAGAGTGATTCTGTAATTAACATATAGTATATCTATAGTTGTTAAAAGAAACGTATAATAACAAAAAACGAATCTGCTTTTAACTTCTGCCTGAAAATTTCTAAAAATTGGACAATATACAAACTGATGAAAAGTGGCATAACTGATGAAACTTACGAAGGCAACAAAACTGATTAAAGATAGCGAAAATAACAAAAGGTGGCATAACTGACGAAAACTAATGAAATTGACAAAAGGTGATGAAACTGATGAGTAATAGCAAAGAAGACATACCTGAGAAAGAAATATATCTGATGAAAAGTATTTAATTGAAGGTGATAAACCTGACAAAAAGTTGTTTAACTGATAAAATACACAATATTTAATTGTATTCCTGTTCCTGGTTTCAGCATGATGACATTACGCAGCTACCTAATAATACTAATCAAGATTATCTGCTGTACAATAAATGCTTAACAAATCAACTAGTTCCTTCAAAATGGATCTTTGGATAAGAATCGGACCTCAATTTCTTTGTATTTAAAAAATTTATAATGTTAGTAGCTTTCTTAATAGTTCATATCTTTTTTAATAAATAGTTTTTATAATTATTCACTAAATGAAATAATTGTATGATTATTTAATGATAAACTCTTATGAGCATAACTTACAGCTTAATATTATGCTTACTCTCTAAAGAATACCAATTCCATAATTGTAATAAATGACTGTATTATAAATTCCTCTAGAATTACCTGCCTTGGCTGATTTCTGATCATGTATAAATGCCTTTTGCTTGGTCAAATAATACATTTCATTAGAAAATGAATGTCTTATTTCTATTTTTTTAAAAATTCAACATGTCGAATGGCACTCTTCAATTGCACACATGATAAAAGATATTTGAATAGTAGGTTAATTGGCAGTTGAATAGTTTATTTGACATGTCAAATTTTGACTTTGACCAATGCGTAACAATAACTGAGCAAGAATACCTTCTGGATTATTCACATACAAAATTTAGTTAACTTGGTGGTTTTATACTTCCAACTATATGTTTTTTAAACGTAACTTTGCTAAGAAGTAGCAACACAAGAGTGTGGGATTAACAGTGATTAAATAAATATGTTATAGTATGGTTTGAATACTTCAAGTTTGCTTAGAAGACTCATCTACCTTTCATAGCAAGATAAGTTACACGAACTTCCTAAAAAAGTATTGTAATAAAACAATATAAAAAAAATGATGGGACGTTCACCTCTGCTACTGTACTGTTGCATTGGTCACATAATTAAGAGTAAAAGATTTCTATTAGTTGGCATATTAACAAAACCAATCTTCATTTTGCTGACATAGCCGGGATACGAAAACCAATTAAGTAGTGAATCTTTTAAAGATTATTTGGTTAGATCATTCAAGCTCTAATTTATTTATAATAATTTGATAAGATTTATACTACTGTATAATATCAGGAATCAAAAAAAATAGGTTTTGATGACAGAAGGATTAAATGAAGTTACATTTTAATATGAAAATGTTAAGGTTTAGAAACAAAATTAGAAGTAGAATTTTGGGTAAAATATAATGCCCAATTTTTATAATTAAGAATTTCAAAAATTGCCAATTTTCTGTTCATGTCTTTGCCACTATCCTTCATTGTTTTTCTAAAAAATGTTGAAACGTGAGCATGGTTTTTTTTTCTACCGCCATGCAAGAAAATGCTGCCAATCCAAAATGCTGATGATACTTCATAAATTCAGAGATATGATGAATTAAAACATGTATATATAGAGTAACATCTTTTGGATGATAGAGTCCTTTTTTAAAATATATTATGTTTAGTTCACCTTAATAAGGTGTAAGAAATAAGTCAAGCCATTTTTTTGCCTGAACTATGAAAAAAGTAGGATCGGTTTCTCGATCTTTCATAAGCTTGTAAAGTGTGTAAAAATCTCTCCACAAACAATTAATTAATATAGCTCGTTCTTCATTAAAAATAACCTCAAAATTAAAATCACGTAATACCTTTTTTTTATTATCTCTCATCAAAGATGTATAATGCCAACTTTGTGATAATTTTGCCAGAAATGGAAACCAACTGAAATTCTTTGCATTTCTACATTGATAATTGCCCTAACATAATTATCAAATCTATTTTCTGATTTTAATTCTTGAATTACTAATTCCCAAAGGCAATCCCAGATTCTCAATATTATATGTAGTTCGTCAGGTACATAATGATTCAGAGAAATCATAGAAAGAAGAGAAACTTTAAGATGTCCAGATGGTGGTAGATTTAAAGTTTGTAAAGTACAATCGTTAAAAAATTCTGACTTAAGTTAATTCATATTTTTTTCGATCTTATACATCTTATCTTTGTTGCTAATTTCTTTTTTTGTACATAAGCACCAAGGACAAAAATAGGTAGCATTTGGTGCATTAAATCCTAACATTATAGCCATAAATTTCCAATCACTACTAAAATATAGTTCAATTTTCTATTTTATTCCATTGGAATCTAATCCATTGGTTATCAAATTATGTAATTCACTAATTATCGGTTCTATTACTTTTTGTAACATTTTATAGTTTTCTTCTTCCGGATATAGAATTATTGTATGATGTGAATCAGCTTTATGAATATTTGAAATGTCATTCAAAATTGTACAGGTGATCATTACATGTTTGATTTTTCTACCTACATTGTGTTCATTATCTGATATGTGAACATTGATTACTGGATTATTTATATTGAGAACATTTCGAGCCACAAGGCCTGGAATTATGAAGAGCAAAATGTCATTAACTCATCTATAGCCTGCTTTGCCTATATATTGCGAAATCTCTTTTTCAATGTCCTGATCACTTATATGAGGTGTTTCGTTGGTTGTTGTAAGAGATATATCCTTAATATTTAAAATACTAATAGGAATTTTTTTATTCATTTCTTCATTTATTTTTTTTTTTGTATTTGAGAAATTGTAATCTCATGGTAACTCTGGTTGAAGTGCAGCTAGGTTTCAGTAGGCATTTCGAGAAATTGGACCTTGGTCAATAACTTTTAAAAATGCATCTAAAGATTGATTTTCTTTTTCTTGATCTTTGTTCTAATAATAAGCTAAATAATTTTTATTTTGAACATGGAACCGGACTTCTTGTAAAACTGATCGATCAAATAAGTTGTAAAATTTAGGAATTTCATTTTTAAATGCTTCACTGATTTGTATAGAAAATCCACGAGAACGTTTTGTCTTCATAGATTTGCTTAATATGTTAAATAGTTTAAAAGAATTGGATCAATTATTTTTTCTTTCACGTTCTTACTCTACGTCTGTAGCATTAAGACCAAATACATGTATGCCAGAAAGTTTTGCATTTGTATTAGGATTTTTTTTCTACATTAATAAAAATTAAAACATATTTTTATATTGATAAAAATTATACAAAATATTCATTTAAAAAAAAATATATATTGACTTGTAAATAATTATTGGCAACAGCAGTTGAAGACTCTTTTGATTCTATTACATAGTTTTGAGAATTTTCATTAAACCTAATCCTAAAAACTGGCCCATCCGAATCATATTCAATTTCACACTCTATTATATGCCATGATTTTCCTCTGCCCCAGCTAGTTTGAACTAAATAATTATCTGGAATTTTGTATTTAGTTCCACTACAAGAACGTGCTGAAGTATAATATATTTTACTATTTGATGGATAAAATCCTTCATTAATAATGTGGTAATTATAATTAGTGTTGCTTTGTTTAAGTGTAAAAGGATTATTCTCAGGATATTTATTTTGGTTAAGAGACATCGCAATTATTTTAAGCTTATCATTAACGCATAAATTTCAAATTAAAATAGATTTTAATTCAATTACAGTAAAATTTTAGGATGCTTTTTTTTTAAACTTTTTTTAAGGTTTTGGTTAAGTATTTGAGTTAGTGTTAGGAAAGTGTTAGTGTTAGAAGAGTGTTAGTGTTAAAAAAGTGTCAGTGGTTTTAGATGCCTTATTATGGCAGATTCGTGGAATTGAGCCTTTATTTAAATTCTCAAATTTAACTATAATATTGCAGAGAAATGGTTTGCTTTTTTTTTTTAGCTTAATCAGATTTTTAGATATTAAATTTAGGGGATATAGCAAATCTGAAAGAAGCCTTATTTTTTAAGTTAAGAGGTCTTAGATATTATGTAATATCCTTAAGAATAATAAAATTATATTACATAATATCTCAATATTTGTAGATAAATAATCAATTACAAAATTGTAGAAATCATTTTTTTATTTATCGTTATTATTTTTTTGTGTTAAGTGCAGACAAGATAAAATGTAAGTAAATTATTTATTTGACTAAGCTATAGTTAAAGGTTCTTGACTGCATTTGTGCTACATTTAAGTGACATGCCATCCTCTTTTTCCTATAAAATAGGTTAATCTCATAAGTCATTATTGATAAAGAACGAACTATATTAATTAATTAATCATTATAGAGAGATTTTTACACACTTTATGAGCTTATAAAAGATCGAGAAACCGATCTTACTTTTTTCATGATTTAGGCAAAAAAATGATTTGACTTATTTCTTACACCTTATCAAGGCGAACCAAACACAATATATTTTAAATAAATTTATATCATTCAAAGGATGTTAATCTATATAAGTAGCAACTATATTCTCTTCTATGTAAAATTTGACATCTTTATTTTAAATTATGTTAAGGTGATAAACTACTAAATTCAACATCGGTGGTAAAAAAAAAGTAGCGATAATATAGCAAAATGCTGTAAGTATGATATATTGAAATATTATAGCTTTTGAAGTAGAAAGATTAAACTAAAATCTTTTGCAGCATATAGGACCAAAGATTTTAGCATATTTTTTTATCTGAACGAATTTTCACTAAAAAATTGTCAACAAGTAAGTTTTATTAACGTTCATTAACCAATGTACTGTAATGCACTGCCTTTAATTCTCTCTATAATACACTTCGAGAAAAAAATCATAGAGATTATGTTAGATATACCGTTTTTTGATAAGACCCAGATAGAGGTGGAACTGAACGACTGGATAATACGAATTTTAATAATTATCCAAATAAAATTTAAGTTGTGGATAATTGAATCGTATTATCTCATACAATTTATGATCATGCTTTCAGGTTGTCATTGACAGTTTTAATTTAACTTATCATTTTTATATCATATCTCAAAAAAAAAAAAAGGTAGAATATGAATATTAGGTTCAATAATAATTTGTTTATCTGATTATCTGTCAGATTTAGTCACAGTGAATAAAACAGATACAGATAAAATCCATTTATATGAATAGATAGATGAATCTCACTTCTAGGCCCATATTAAGGCAGTACATTATGATATAATAATTGCATCAGGATTCCTTATCCATATAATAAGTTATATGGAATCTTTACTAGATTTAAATCATATGATCCATCATCTAAGATCTGAATTTTTTTTAGCGAAGATTTCATATATGTATAATATTTTGTTATTCATAACCTTTTATCAAGATGCATGCTCATTTTTTTGGATTCAAAGGTGTTAACTTAACATGTTACTTTACAAAAGTAGATTTATCAGTTCAGTATTATCACACATTTAATTAGCATGTATATTTATTCAATTTGTGTTTGCATTCTTTCAATAGAAATGGAGAGTAATCCAGATCAATGGGTCTCCTTCGACTTGGAGCAGTAATAATTTTATTAGACAAATGAAAAAAGTGTCAAATGGTATGGTATTATTATTTTTACTATTTATTCATTATTGTGTTTCTAAAAATATTAATTTATTTTTTTATTATCTCACAAACTGATCTAGTTGAGTTTAAAAAAGATGAGTACAAACTATTTATTTATTACCAAAAATCTGCTGATATGAAAGATTCTAATAGAATGTTTTAAGCTGGTGTTTATTATAAAGATAAATATAGGGCTGAAAAGAATGAAAATAAAACATTCATTCGTTTTCAAAAATCTGCTAAAATGGGTTATGTTCTTAGAGCGAATATAGCTGATCACTGTTATGAAAATGAACCCAAAGTTAAAAAAGATAAACATGAAGCATTTACTTATTTTCAAATATTTGTCAAAAGACAACAATTCTATTCATCCTGCCTCCTTCTAAGATGTGATATTCGAGGATACTTGACTTATATATTTGGATTTAAATACTACTGCTTCGAATTAACATATCATCAAACAGTTTCTGTGTCATAGTTATTTTTGTAAGTATTTGTGATTAGTAGTACATTCTCTAACTTTTTTATTCATCATACAAAATTAATTTGTCAATTTTTATTACCCGAACAGGTCAAATTTGAAACTTTAAAAGATCTTTTTTTATATTATTTAATGGCTGGATGGATTTTTTTGAAAATTTTGAAGTTTAAATTTTCATGTTATAAAAACCAATAAACTAATTTTATATGGCCTTAT